CATTTTAAAACTGAAATAAATAATTACATAAGAGTTTAAGCATTTTGTAAATAACATTTTACGTTTATTATAAATTAACGTCAAAAGTAATTTTTCTTTTGGTAACATTTTATATAATATGAAAACCAATATATATAGTAATTTGCCACCACTTTACTACTGATACTCATAAAAATCTATGAATGGACTATAGCAAGAGCCACAATTTAAGTGTTGTCTCGCGTCACATTAGGTTATTTTTAAACAGACCGCAGCATATTTTTAGACATTAAAACTAAATAAATTCATATGGACATTAAACAAGTATTTTTGCATAAATGTAACAATACGAAGCCATACTAAATTCAAATACATCATATGGATCTAAGTTAAAATAGAGATCATCCATAAGAATGGCATTCTAGAACTTGTCAGTAGAATTCTATGTAACTCGGAAATGACTAATAAAATATTGTTATTATATTCTCAATATACCAAGATTACAAAAAAAAACCCACATAATATCGTCAGAATAAAAAATAAAAGTGGATATATACCGTAATAATTAAAAACATTATCTGGAAACAGTGGTGAAGTAACCGAAGTATAAGTACGAAAACACATTGTTAATGTTTGACCATATGTGTTCTTCATCTTAATTTTATGATCCAAATCTATTACATTATCATAAAATTATCTTTACGATTGTACCAGAAATTTACATAAATCTGAAGTTACTTAACTCGTGTTTGCGTAAATCATAACTGTAATGCATTACGAATATTTGGTTAAGTCTAATATAAAAATATATTATCGAATTCAAGAGGCTGATCGTATTAAAATATCCAGCAGACTTTATGTTGCATATCCCTAAACTATAGTATCGAAGCGCAGAAAGGTGTATAAATGAAATCTTAGTATGATAAAGGGGGAATACCTGGAACAGATAAGGAATTTTTAATGCCTATTCGACGTAAGATGACAGTTAATGCGAATCTTCATCATCGCATCATCATCTTACGTTCGTTACTCTGTAAAAAGTTATTGTTTTCGTTTTATTGGAAAATTTTCTGATTAATCCATCATTTTAGGAACAGCTTGAAGAGAAATTTGAAACAGAAAGAATAAATATAAGCTATATATATAAATACACGAAACAAGTTATATATATTTATAGACTGTTAAAATTACCAAAATCCTTATCATTTATAAGAAAGTTATATAAAAATCAAAGATATTAATTTAATTAAAATGATATATTTTAGGTGAAGCGTACTTAGGCCTATATTTATTCATTGAAGCATATTCTCATATTTGAATGGCTTATATCTATCTGGTTAGAAGCTTAGTATATGCCATAAAGTAAGTTAAATAAGATATTCGCAGGATCATTTAAAGGATATTTTACTAATTACAGAAACTTTGAACGACGTATTCGAATATTATCTCTTCCAGCATTTGGTATTTTGAGTAAACATAATGCTGATATCAAATCAGCGGAAAATTATTTGAATCCACGTCTTTACAATAGATATATATCCAGCAAATAATAGATGATTACTGGCATATTACAATCAAAATTTAATTTAGACTTGAATATACATATAGCGAATGTTTCCTTGTGACATCGTTGGTGATATATATTTAACTGGTTGTTTAAATATTTCTGTAAACTCGCCGTACGCAAACTATCTTTAAAGAGGCGATCTGAAAATCAAACTTAATTTGTTATAAAAATAAAAACGGCATTTATATATTTTAAAATCATTTGTGAATGTATCGTGTGTCATGTGAATCATTTGTATAAGCAATAAAGTTACGTCAACATTTACATCTCTATTTTTCAAAATATATTAAATTGAACTATCGAATCGTGAAAAATAAACCGAATTTATTGAAAAATTACGTTTAATTCGTTACAAGTTTTATCTACACTTTTCGTAATAAAGATAATGATGGTCTTAACTGATGTAAAAAATGATCTTAAGTAACACTCGAGATATTTCTTAAACAGTACATAATACGCTTTTAAGTGGTATATAAGATAATCAGCAATGGTATGGAGGGCACTTCACATTGAAAATATTTCTAGTTCATACATAACTCGAACAATAAGAAATAAATATTTAGTTTTTACATTTTCCATGATTTCAACTTATAAAATAAACATTCGTTTAAAAATTTTAGAAATATCTATTCTTAGATTTTCATAATTATGTTATATGTAATAAAAATACGCATGCAATTATTAAAAATCAAATAAAAAGATCGAAACGAATTGATAAATGAAGGAATTTTCTGAATTTTGCAACCATTCTTCTAATTATAAACATTATCTAATAAATAATATTTTTCTAATAAATTTCAGTTTTTTTTTGAAGTATATTTGTTTTAAAAAGAAAGTACATAAGATATATAAAAATGTACAGTAAATGGATAAGATAACATCTAGCATTCAATCCTTCTTTGAATTGTGTTTGTTAAAAAGATGCGTTACAAAGAATCCAATTAATCACTGAGTTTTTTTAACTTAAGAGCCTTAATTTGCTTTTAATTCGCTTAATTTTTTCACCTGTAAATTTAAGTATAATGCATTTTTTTACATCCTTTCAGGAATTTTTCACTCGATGCATCTCTACCCGTTTCTAATTTGGTAATAGAACCAATTTCGCAGCAGTTTATTATGATTTTTTGAAGATTAACTTGACTTTTTTTCGATTGCAAACATTCAGAATAGATCAATTATAGGGAAAATAATAAAAAAATATTTCGAAAAACTATTGTTAATAATTTTAAAATCTAAAAAGAAAGCAAAGAATTTCTGAAGACATCTATTTAATACCACCATCCGAAAATCGCCGTTCTTTGACTTAATCTTGGTCTATGTTTAAGCGGATTTATGGAATAACCATGAACAATCGCATAAACTACTTAACTAGGTTTGTGCAACCTTATAAATGCCATATTACTTGAAATAACATCAAACAATAACATCAAACACAAAGAAAATTCAATGGTATTTTTCGAGAATTTTTTGTGTTAAAATATATCTCAAAGTTGAAAATGTTCGCTAAAACTAAACTTACAAAATCTTTCGATTGCATAGTTATATGTTTTAACGATTGTTTCATATAAAACATACTCGTCACACTGTATGCCTTTCATAGATTTTTCTTTGTTTACTTTCTGAAGATCTTTATCCCTTTAACACGTTGTCAATAGTCGTCATCACAGTACAAGATGCCAGTAACAGATGGATTTTTCTCATTATTTTCGGACATTTCTGCAAATTTACTTCTAGATTCATCCTTAACAGTGTGTTGATCCACTTTCTACGTTGATTGGAACCATTTATGCGTTAAACTCACCAGCTATAATTATCAACAAACTTATTTTTTTCATAATAACTGGCACCTTTGAAGATATTATCGGATTAATGTCATTGTATATCAAAATAAGAATTGGCTATACATTCTTTACAATTTTCTTGTCAAAATTTATAAGAAAAAAACCCTGTTTTTTTCATTCCTGATTAATAAAAAAAACCACTTATTTTTTTTATTTTAACACGAGAAAAATATCCAACGGACATAACTGACATTTTTTAACTGTAACGAATCGTCTAAAAAAACGTTAGATTTCGAATTCGCTTTCGTCATACTTACGTCCCCCTTTCTGTATAGATGATGGATGCTACTACTAGATTAAAAAAGTCACCTTAGGGTATGATCGTGCCTCGTCCTTTTATACAGAAATAGCTTTTGATAATCTGTTGTACCTTACAACAGATAGGCCTACAAAAACGACTACAATGTATTAATCGCCATACCTTCACTCAACTGTTAGGTTATATTTAATTCAAAAAATACGTTTAGTTCTTAAAATTCTTTTTAATATGTAGCTTTTAATAATTAAAATTGCTTTTCTTTTACTATATAATAATATCAGAAACAAGAAAAGTGAATTTAATAATGGGCATTCAAAATCTATCTATATGTACTGTACATTACTTTAAGGTATGACAAAAAAAGAATTATTTATCATAGTTATAACTTTATATTTTCAATATGTTCTAGTAATTATTAAGAGTTTTTATTAACTGAAATGTATGTTTGATAAGTAATTATTATTTAAATATCATCCCCTCTCAATTTTAATCAGAATAATTATTTAAATCTCATATTTTTAACACAAAATAGTTATTTTTAACTCATAATTTTGAATATAATCATTTAGAGCTCTTGATTTTGGTATGTAATTATTTACAACTCATGCAAATATTAACAATTTACAGCTTATTTCAGAAACTATTAAATATTAAGATAAAGGACATGTTTTTTACAGTAATTAAATCTATCTTTTTACTATTAAAAATAAAACTATTCTAATAATTGATACCGGTCTAACTTACGGATTGAAAAAAAACAGTTAAAAAACTCAAGCAATTTAAACTTATTTAATATTAAATTAAAAGAATTAAAGAAGAAACTTAATATAACGTTTATTCAGCAGAAATTAATTATGATATTTTTATACATTAAAATCAATTATTTATAATAAAATTCGAGTAATTAAAATTATCATTAACGCATTAAAAATAATATAAAAATGAATAATAATCAATATTTGCAGCAGCCATTTTTGAAAAATATGAAAACTTTTGTGTACATTCAAAACTCGGTACATCATCTTAAGTCAATTTAATTAACTTTAAGATATTAATTAATGGATATTTGAGTAATTTAAAATTCCTTTTAGCAGAATTAAAAGATTTTGACAAGATGCAAAAGTTAATAAGTGTCGTTTGATGAAAGTAAAATACGCTCGAATCTAATTAAAGATAATTTGTAAGTACGCTTACACACGACTTATATTACTGTAAATATTGATTAACTAACCACTAATAATATAATTTACAACATTACAAATGGAAAAATAACAAAAATTCAATTTTTAAAAATTGAATTCTCTCATATGACACACTTAAATATATACAAAGTGAATGTACTGTATGTACTTACCATTAAAATTCGTAAACGAGTCCGCTGTTTGCTTAAATTTTTTTGACGAAGAAGAAGAAGAATGATGATGATGATAATGATGAATTATTTTAATCAATTACTCAACAAATAGGAAGCTTTAAAAATAAGAAAAAAAATATGAAAGTTAAGAAGGTTAGTTAAATGTTATATTATTTTTTATTTCTATATTTGCAGAGATAGCGTAAAAAAGAAGATGAATACCTGTTTAGAGATGGTGTCGAGGGAATTTTCTATATTTGCTTAATATTGATGGATAAAGGATAAACCTTTAAGTCATTTGGGAAATCGAAAGGTTAGATGTCCCTGTTGAATAAACTAACAGCTTTCAAAATCATTAGGGATTAATTGCTTCGACTTGCTAGTAATTGTGTCTTGTAATAACAGCTTCGACGCCTTTGTAAATTCGAACGTTTAATCAATTTAAATTTTATAAAATAACTCAATGATAATTAGACAATTTGGTTAACAAATTTTTTTTCCTTGGTTTTAACATTTAATTTTAAATTTTATTTTATTTATTTAATTTTTTCGGTACTTTCTACCTTTACATCCTTCAATGTTTCTCAATAAAGAACATTTTTACAACTATAAAATTTAAAAAATTCATAGAAAAATTACTAAAAGAAACACATCAAAATTAATTTTTTAATATTTTATAATTAAAAATTGCTATTTAGTTTCTAAAAATCCAGTTTCTTTCATATATATTATATTTGTTTGAACGAGAATATCTCTTAAAAAGTCATTTTTTAAATAGTAAATTTGGTTTACAATATTCTAAATTATGTATTTTAAAACTAAAAAAATATGCTTTAAGTTCTTCCAACTTACAAGTTACATAATGAAAAATTTTTCATAGAATCGATTTACTGAGATGTATGCAACATATATCTAATTTCATAAATAATTTAATTTTTAAATTATTAAAAATATTTTATATTAAAATAAATTAAAATTTAAATATAAACATAAACATGTTTACTAGTTTATTTTAATATTTACTTGTATTTGTATTGCATTTTTTAATGTAAAACACTCGAGTTTCTTAGTATATAGATTATAAGTGTCTTATAACATTTTATTTTATAAATTTCTATAAAACTTTAGAAATTTTTCCTAATTTTATGCTAATCTTCCAATTAAAAATATTAAATAATATTTTTTTCAATTAAAAATGACCCATTTTTTTCTAAAAAAAATATATATTTTTTTTTCATTCAAAAA